AGATGTTGGTTGGGATTTCAGGCTGCCTCCTCCCTTGTCCTGATCTCACCAAATGGATCGCACTCTTCTGAACTTGAAAAAAGTATTTTACATTTGGGGTATTAAAGTAGAAAAATATTTGTACATCTTTTCATTAGAAAGCCCATTGAGTACCTAGAATAACAGTGTCCACTGTGTTTTGAGTTGCAAAGGTTTTTCTTACTGTCTGGAGATAAAGTGGAGCGACACCTAATACCGTTTGCATGCAACGTGCAAAACAAATTACCGTTCGTAAAAGTGTTTGAAGTTTTCAAGTTACTTCAGTTTTATAGGCAGAGTCCACAGTCAGTTATGTTCATGTCTTTACCAAGTATTTCCTGAGTGGTGAAGCCTATTTTACTGACACTAGTGGTGCTGATTAAAGCTCAATCCTGAATGCTCAGTTGAACTACCCTCCAGCATTGCTCCGCTGCAATGACAGCTTTCCCCTGTTCAGAATAATTTGAATATTGTGTCCCTTGGAATTATTAGGTACCTTGTGCTTATCCTTCCACTGGAGAGTCCGGCCATACTGAGTAATAGTAGTGTTTGTTTTGTAGATGTTTATATTTCATGAAGTCAGGTGTCTTGATGGCCGCTATTTAAATGTGTGTATTTTTGTAGATCCTTTTGGCTTAGTGAGGGTGCTCCAGCTTCCTGGAACTTCATGTAATGACCACATAGAATTTAAATATAACTTTACTGTCTGTAGAGGTAAGCACAGTTGAAAACACTTTTCAAATCAACATTAGATTAACAGTGAAGAATGAATAAAGTGATACAAGCTGTAATAAGATGAGATATAGTTTCTCTTTCCATTGTGTAGTGTTTTCCAAATAAAGATACCAAAATTTTAATAAATATTCCCAGACCATTTAAAAGCTGAAGTGATGGAGCTGACGCAATGTTAAGTATAAAGTACTTGTAAAAACATGAGGACGTGCAAGTGTGTGGCTGCCAGGCATAATTTAAAGGTGGTTTTTTTTTTAACTGTAGGGTTCCAGGTTATACGGATTAGCCGTTCTGATGCTGTTACGAGATGTGGCATCAAAAGCAGACTGTAGAAGCTGTGTATCCCCCTGTTGGAATGGGCATGTGACACCCAGTGCAACTCCACAAGGTACTTTGCTCAGCCAGCGAAGTACATGTTGGTGTTATTTCCGTTGCACTTGGTGGATGAGAAATTAATTCCATGCATTTCATGTGTTACAAATGAAATTAAATTTCTTCTAATTAATTTCTTCTAGTTGATCGATGTAGGAAGTCTTTATGTTAAAGACAACAGCTTATGAATCTATCATAGCACTGAGAGATCCATTTTTTTGGATGAAAGTATGATTGTAGGCCGTGTGCTTTCAGAACACGTTCACACCTTGAACCTGTAGAAACTGTCTCAGGTGGGGACTGCAATCAGTCGTATCATTTTCTAAATGACAGTGTGGTAATGTTTAACCTGGTGAGTGAAATAGTGCTGTCTGCGTGAGGATATCCATTCGCCAAGGCTCAGATTCAGATCTTCTCAGTTGCTTGGTCTAGAAAACAGCCGTAACTTCTGCAGTTGCTTGAAGTCTGCACAGCACAGCAAGCATCCAGCAAATTTCCTCCTGTCTTCTATTGGGCCTGGCAGTGTGGGTATTTTACTGTGCGATTTTAGAGAGGTAGAAATAGTTTATCCTTTAGGATACCAGGTCATTAGACAAGTAGGAGTGGAATGGTACTAGTTAAGAGATGTAGAAAAGACTGTGTAACAGCAAAGTAAAAATTTTATTATGGTCAACAAGCTACGATGTGGAAAAGCTTAGAAACTCTCCATTTGGTGTTACTGAATTGCTTAAAGTGTCCATTTCAATAAGGTCTATTACCTGTGGGTTTGAGGGCTTTGGGTCTTCTTCCGTTTTCTCCTGTTACCAAGCTCACTGAAGACACAAAGTGAGAACTAGATACTCCAAAGATGTATTACAGTTTATGAGTAACTGTGCTGGATGACCTATAGGAAGGGTTCTTCAAATGTGACATCCCTGCCTCTTGTGGTCTGCAAACCACAGCAGCAAAAGCTAAGCCATCCTCGCTGCCTTTTCTCAAGAGAAGGTGGAGGCCAGGCTCCTGCATTCACCCGTAGCCGGCCCAGCGGCGGTGGGGACGGCTGTCGGTGTCGCCGCTGCCGTGCGAGGGCAGGAACCCGCAGGGATGGACAGCAGGGATGGAAGTGGTGCTGCGCGGGCAGCAAGGCGCTCTCTCAGTTCTTCCCGTGGCAAGAACAGGTGACAAAATTTTGTTTCGGAAGCAAATTAAGCTAATTACAAGGGTGATCTGATTTTTGGTGCATTGTAAAGATCTCAATAACCCGCAGTCTTAATTTTTCACCAGTGTGTTATTTACCCCTAAAGAACAAATATTCAGAAATGCATAATTTCTGAAATAAATAAGGGAAATAATTTTGTAGCAGATCGGTACTCAGTACATTTCAGTAACCTTGAAAACTGAAATATCCTCCACTACTGGGTCATGATATTAAAGAAATGTTGGAGGTACAGATTCTGTAGTGATGTTGGTGGGGACAGTATTGTTTGTTACTTTGTATTGGTAATCACCATAAATGCATTTAATTATGTACTGCACTCCACACCCTAGACAAGGGCTGTGAATGAGTCAACATGGAAAATTTTACCAAATCCAGTTCAGTGTATAGTCTAGTCAACTGATGTACAAAGTGTAGTGGTCCTTGTAATAAAACCCTCTGAATTAAAAATTTAAATAAAAACTCTGAATGAAAATTGATTATATAGACAGAGCTAGAATTGAAACCAAAGGAGCCTAACAAAAATCCTTGGCTGAGATTTTTTCAGTTATTATTGAAGTTGTGTTTTGTTTCATTTTAATGAGAAAGGTTTGTCAGGTGGCCTCCAAGACAGTAAAAGCACTGATATATATTTATTTGCCCACGATAACTTTCAGCTACCAGTGCTTAGGAGGGAATCTTGGTGTCTTGCAAAGTGGTGTACAGTGCTGCAGAGAAATGTGTTTAGAGCAAAGACACTGTGGATTTATGTGGCAATTTAATTCCTTATTTCTTTAAAAAATGGTAAATGATAAAATGCTGTGTGGGTCAGTATGTGTAGATGTATTTATATAAAGTTTGAGAGCGATGAGTCAATAGAAGTGGGAAAGGGAAGTGATGTCAGTATCATGTTCCAGGCACTGTTACAGATCGTTTAAGGAATATTATGTACTTGGATTTACAAATGTATTTCAGGATTTCACAGAAAGAAACAAATCAATGAAAGTTTAACCTCAAATAATTAATGTTTAAAATATTTAAGAATATGCATCGTAATGGATGTTGCATGGTTTCATCACTGATACTGTGCTTGCTTTGGTGAAATATGAAACTGTATTGTCCTGTTAATTGTGTGTAAAGGACTGTTGATGTGAGTTCAGCTGTTGACATCTGTTTGCATGTTTGGACACTTAGCACACTTACCTGCATATAGATTTAAGAATTTTTAAACTAAGGCTTTAAAAGGTGATGCCTTGCTGTCTACTTCTACTTTGTTATGTTAATGTAGAAGGGTTAGCTAAATATGCATATGTAAAATTTGATAACTGTCTGTGTGTAATGGTGAAATGTTAAAACGAAGCCTCTGATTGTCTGGGAAAAGTTAAGCTAGGAAGTTTATTAACATACAGTCTTGTTGTGTTTCTACTGTAAAAAGAATACACCTTAATAAAAAGTTTGCATCTGCTAGCAATTGTATCACTGATCCACTACGTTATTACTAAAGTAAACTTTGCTTAATGAGAAGCCTGGAGTGGGACCATTCTGAAATAACAGTGGATGGTGCATGTGTCATAAAAAAGACTCTTCCCTCAAGCCCTAGCTGCAGCGCAGCAATAATTCAGCAGCAGAGGCTGCGTGTGCAACGTCACTCCCTCCGTAATGAGCAGAATTTGTGGAGACGGTGTCTCAGCAAGCCAAGCCTTGTGCAGGCAAACACGATAGAAACTGCATAGGATACCAGTTGATTTTTTTTTTTTCTTCATGCATTACGTGTTTATTCTGAACTCTGGCATGATTGTTGTATGGTTTTTGTAATTAAAAAAATTATTTGTAGAATGAAATCTGGCCTTCTCAGCCATATTCCTTTGAAAAATTGGGTGGCTTTGAAGAGTTCTGTTTTAGATCGGTTATCGTATAAATAATTTCAATCACGATATTCTGTTGTTTTATGAACACCTCTAATTAAATTTAAGATAACTTCTCAGGGAGTACTACCATATTATTTATTCTGACAGCCAAAGGAATACGGACATTGCATCAGTCTTGAACGCTTGCTAATCTGAAGCATTTAACATTTGCTTTCCTGATGACAGAGGTTCCAGGGCTATGTTAATTACCTCTTTCAAATTTGAATAAAGATTTCTGCTTTTTCAGGAGCATGCCTTAACATTGACATAAAGTACATTCTGAAAGATTTGTAATCTAGTATCACTGAAAACTGTCTATGGAAGGTTAATCAACGTAGTGTCTGTAGCTGGCAAAACGAGTTACCTGATTAAAACCAAAATGTAAGTGCCTTTAGTAACTGTTTTCTGGTGACGAGCCCAGTTGGCAAATTGCAGCCAGAAAGATATTGCACAAGGTAACAGCCTGAAGTTCAGTGTAGCACCAGGACATCTCCCGTACAATAATGCACATATAAATATGTATATTTACATACATGTGTGTGTATGTGTACACAGACATTTCTGCTTTCATGTGTTTTGCATGTGTATGTTTTATATACAGTTTTTGTCTTTCTGGAGGAGGGTAAAGGGAGAGCCTTGAAAAGTCCTTCCCTGCTCTTATCAACATAGGAGCCTCAGCTGCCCTCCTTGGATCCCCTGCCAGGGTTGCTATCATCTTCTGATCAAATATTAATGTGTGATTCTGTGCTTGCTCACTAATCCAAAGCCAATTAATATTATCTGTCAATTATTTACAGATCCTGAGGTGCGGAGGCAATTCCCAGAGGGCTACAGTGACCAGGTTTGGAATGCGTAATTAATTTTTTACATGACAAAATTTATTTCAGGGTTGTTCAACATATTATTGCTGCTCTTTTTACTGAAAGAGATAAATGCGTTCTTAGAAAGAAAAAGAAGCTGTAATTAGGAGCAGAAGGATAAAAACATTTTCACATTTAAAGCAGAAAACGGAAGAATTTGGGATCTCATAAGATTGTTTTACAATCTAGTTTTTACAAGCAAACATGAGAGCTGGAAGGAAAATTGATTAATAAATTTCACTTTTTGCCTTTAGGTGCCACAGCCTGCAGTTCATTTGGCAGTCCTCACTTCATTGTCTGAAAGGTTTATAGCTATATTTAACTGGGCACCTGGCACTACAGTACATTTTTAAAATTCTTGCCTGCTCATGCAGTCTCTAGTCTGTTTCAAAAAGATGGTATTAAAATACAAATGTGCGGGTAGGACACACGGGTATTTATCTTTTAGTTTATACACAGATTGAATCTGGAATTTTTCACAGGATTGCTAGCTGGCTTCGAAATTAGCAACTTCAGGTTACCTTGTATTTTCGTGTGTCTCATTAGAAGTGGATTGGGGCAGGGGTCAGAGGTTAGGGAGAGGGGATTACTGCCGTGGTGTCTGTAAGTACTGCCGGAGTTCATGCGCTGTTATTGTTTGTCAGCGTTCGGGGTAACTGCTGCATCAGGGCTCTGAGTGCAAGCTGCTTCCTTGCACCTTTATTTCGGAGAAGTGCTGAAGTTATGGCATTGTATAACTATTTAATATAACAATAAATTTTGCCTCAGCGAGTCTCTGATATAGAGTTAGGGTCAGCAGAGCTATTTTATTTCAGATCCTTTCCCTCTAATTGTGTTTTCATGCAATATGAAATTTTGTGGCATTTAGACTAAAGCATTTAAGAAACGTAGATGTGATAGCTCATCGGGGCCAGAACAAATGTTTTCATATTTGGCTGTAATCACACTATGCAGTGGGACCTTGACCAGGGCTTCTGGGTGGTTTTGTTGTAGTAATAGTGTTTTTTTTTCCAAAGCAGCTGTTCAGCTACCTGACAGCTTTTCACTGTAGTTTGTTATTAGGACTTCCTTTACACATGAAATAAACTTTTGGGGGGGATTCATCTTTATTGCCACTGTCAGGCTGTAATTTGTGAGTAAATAGAGTCCTAAGTTTGTATTTACATGACAGACTATCTACTCTTCAGCACATCACATATGACTAACCTGATACACTGTAAGCTGAGGGCCCTTCAGAGCTGGTACAGACAATTGTGTCCATGATAAAGGTATTACAGCAAAGTCCTGTACGTAAAATTCACTTTATAAAATTCATAACAGTTCTCTTCCTTCTCCTGCAAATGATTAGATTTGAATAATATTGCTATGAATATGCAAGACTGAATCAAACTCAGAGGAGCCACAGGCTCATATATAATTCTTAAGATATTCACCCAGTTATAGTCAGAATTTCCGTTCTCTGATGTCAGACCACACAAAATACACAGTAGGGCATTTGTGTGTTTGTGGGGATGGGACGGATTTTTAAATCATGAAATATTTTGCACACACACACTTATAGGAAAGGCAAAAGAAAGGAGGCTAAACTTCTCAAACTCAGAGTAGATTTTAAACATTTTCCCTGTTGGTGCACAGAAAAAATAGTTTCTCTGTTAATAGTAGCTATACATTCTTTTAAGAAGAGAACGTGTCCAGAGTTGACAGATTTAGATCTGAAAAATCACTTGTGAATATTCAAGTAAGCCAGAGGAAAAAAACGCCTGTAGAAAGGAAGAGCTACATCCATGTTTTTCCTGATCAATATGGAGCTCTGAGAATGTATAGGCTGCAAATCTGTCAAGAAGGTTTATTTCTTAAAACTTCTGGTTTATTGTTTTTTTGGGGAAAAAAAAAAAAAAATTAGGAGTGCTAAGTCACTGAAGATACACACACTACAAACCCCTCGGTTTTCCTGCATGTATGGTGTGTGCAAAGGAGAGATAAGATATGCATGTTAGTGCAGGCAAAAATTGTTTCTAGCAATCAAACATTTATGATTTAATCCAGAAGGAATATTTGAGTTAAATCAACACAAGGTAAAGCACTTACTAATAAGAAAAAAAAAAAGGGGGGGAAAAAAAACACCTCAAGTTTTTTTTATTCATCTAAACTATCAGTGCTTGTTTTTACATACACTGTATTTCCCATGTACCAGCACATCTGATCAGAGACCCTCGCTGCTGCTAGATGTTTTATTCTGTGTGTTCTTTGTACCTTACAGTAAAAGAATCTGTCACAAATTATTGTGCCTCACTGCTTTAGAAACTGAGAAAAAAGGGAGGTTAGATTGACATCTGTGACTGAATAATGATGACCAGCCTTTTGGCTCCCCTTGAGCCACAAAGCTAGCATTGCCTTTAGAGAGGAAAAAGGAGTAAGAAGAAAGGGGAGGGATAAAAGAGAGTTACAAATCTGTGGTCCCGGAGATGTATTACTGTTGGGCCAGTTGTCTGCGTGGTATGATAATCCATTTTGATCTTCTGTCTTAATTGTCTGCTAAAGACAAATGGGCAGTAAAAGTTCATCAGTTTCATCTTTTGCTTCTCATTTAGAGACAGAATAAATGATCCATCGCTACAGAAGAAACCTTTCTTTCTGACACGGAAGTAATGCAGACCCAACACGTTTTATTAAAATATTTCTCCCTCATTATTTCAGTCCTCTCAGCTCTGATAGATCTTACTGTTTCATGAAAAATGTAATCTGAAATGTAAATAAGGGGTTTGATACAAAGTAAGGAAGTAATGAGCAGGCTAGCCACATTGTAGGAATTTTGATTGTAATTACTGACAAAGTGAATTCTGCGTGTCCTGATTTTTTTCCCTCAAGTTGTCTTTGACACGTTCAGACCACAATGACATCTATGGTTTAAATCTGTTAAATAACTGTATAACGGAATATTTTTATAGAAAATGTCATAGAGAAGGTATCTTAGGAGCCTTACTAAGGAAAGAAAATGCTAATGATTGCTCCAGGCGACTTGAAATGGTTAAAACTAGGGGGCTTTTTTTGAATGGCAGGAGGGGAGCTGAAGTAATCTTGAGATACATTTTTAAATGTAAGAGTGCATTAACTTGTTAGGGTGTTTTATAATAGCTTTCAAGAATAAAATATGTATTTATGTATATGTGGTTGTACCTAACATGAAATACAGTGATTGTTGATACTATAAGCAACAGTTTTTCAGTGCTAGCATTTTAGGAATGGTCTTAGAATTTAAAACAGATGAGAACTCTTAGTTATTCTTTATAAAATACAGTCACTTTAAGTAGAAGAATCCTTTAAAAAAACCCTGATGGTCTAGCAGAAAAATACTTACATATTGCTACATTTTCTGGTTTGAATTCCTACAAAAGCTGTAGTAATGAATTTCGGTTTTTGTAGGTGAAATCCTGTGCTATTGGAATATTATGAATACCAAACTATGGCCAGGTTGCTTTAGCCTTACCACCATATGAATTTTGGCTGTCTGCTATTTTGAAGATAAATCCCAAGATTAATAGCTATCCTGGGCTAACTAATACCAGGAAGTTTATTGCAAAGGTGTAAACTTCTATCAGAAAGAATGTTTCAGCAAATAGTTGATATACAAATACATTAAAAGACCAAAAAAGTCAAACAATCAATGGAAGCTGTAGCAGGAATTACACAACTTTGTAAAATGCAACGTATTTTAAAAATGGTTTGAGTAGTGCATCATTCGGCTCCTTACTGTTTTAATCTTTATAGCTCATCTGGAAGGGAAAGGAAAAAAATTATGTGGTGATAGTTCCCATTTGCTTCAAGTGGGTATGATGACTTGTCTATAATTTGATGAACTATTGTACGTATCAGTTAATTACTACAAGAATGACTGAGGTATGCATGCTTGCAAGCTGGTATTTATGCAGATTACTACTTCTATTCTGCTGGTAATTTTTCTTTCCACTGGCATTGGAACAGAGTTTATAATGAAACCAACAATCTTTATACATTTATAGAAACTATAAAACTTTTATGGCAGTCTTTATATAGAAACTAATGGTCTTTCTTGTACAAAGCCTATGAGCATTGTAGAAACGTTGCACACAGGGAAAAATAAAAAGCACCCTTTCTTTGTGTCATTGTAAGAGTTGTGTGGTTGGAGAGTATTTACACAGTGCTGGCCATAAATGGAGCATAAACCCCCTTATCTTGCAAAATCTGTGTGCACTAAGGGGACTTAGTTGCTTGAACAGGGATGATTATAACCCAATTTGATACTTCTGATCTGCACACGGTATTCTTAGTGTAAAGTTTTTGCCTTACAGGTTGCGTACGCTGCATGATAAATCCCGTCTCTAGAGTCATTTGAAATAATAGCTATTCTTTCAAAAGTAGATGAAGTTGGATGGGAAAGGTTGAGTAATTAGTCATTTAGAAAATCTAGAAAAGTGTTCTGAAAGTCACTTTGTGGTAAAACCAAGGCAGTGTAAATAGAAAATAGATGAAGTATCTGATAGTCGCTTCTGAAGCGTTCGATACTCTCGGTTTGTATAGAGCTGTCATACTGCATTCACACAGGGAGTCTTTTTAAGTGAAAGTCTCATAAAACTGAATGTAGGACAGTTATAAACCTTTCCCTTGCACAGTGACCCCTATTGACTAGGTGGCGGTAGCAGAGCGGCATGAATGGGCACCTTTGTGTGGGGCAGGCGGGCAGCCTGTGTGCGCGTAAGGAGATCCCCTGCGCCTCAGGTGCAGATAGTACAGCTGCTGTTTCACCGAGGCCTTCTGGGGACGACTCACCCTGGGAGGACAAAGCTGGGTTCTTTGGTTCAAGCCCTGAGAGATAGTGGACAGGACTAAACCATGAGCTTTGACTACAGAATGGAGTCTTTTCTGACTTCAGAATATTTTTCTAGACCAGCTGTATATCTTTTAATATAGGAAAGTGAAAAAAAAACAAAACCATATTCCTCAC